ATCCAGAAATCAAATTGAACATGTACCAATAGTTCATGGACCATATTGAACAAATTAAAAGTTTAGGAACCAAATTGCACATTAGGCTAAAGGTCAGGAACCACATTGAACAAATTAAAAGTTCATAGACCATATTGCACATTGAGCCAAAGTTCAGGGACCAGTTATGTCATTATCCCAAAATAAAATAAATTAGATAATTCTTAAAATGATTGCAAACAACATCATTTTGAGTAAATTTGATTATGTTAGATCGGCGGCTGTACCACGAGGACGGCTAGCGATAATCACATCGCCACTTTAGTATTTTCAGATAAAAATTGGCCAGAATAACTATATTAGAATTTCATGCAAAGGTTTAGGACTACATTGGAATAATATAAATATTTAAGACTGAATCGGAATCCGTATAATAGGTTTGTGACTTAAATAATAATTTTTTCCATTAAAAATGGATAAGTTGTTTGAGCCGGATGGGTACATGAAGGAAAGTATGTTTAGTGCTTGCACTATAAAGAAGATGAACAGTCATAAAAGAAAAGAAAACAAAAAAAAAATTACTGAAAACAACGTTGTTTTGAGTAAATTGATCACATTAGATTGTTGATCATGCCATGTATGGCTAGCGATGATTAGACCGCCACGTTAACATTTTCAAATGAAAATCGGCCGGGATGATTACATTGGGATTTCATGCAAAGTTTTAAGGTTACATTGGAACAATTTAAAGGTTTAGAATTAAATTGAAATCCATATAATAGTTTAAGGCTAAAATAACAATTTTTATCATGAAAATTGTATGTATCTGAAGCATAAATGGTGTGGGTTGAATGTAAAACTCACATAATCTAATGGTTGAGATTGAATGGGCTCACATGTATCGGATGGATGCAAGACTTGCTGGTCTACTCCCTTCTCTATTTTCCATGAACATGCTCAGGAGTTTTTCCGCATTCACTAATTCAAATGAAAGATTATACAAATTGATCGATGTAGAGCCAACTCTCCCACATGCTAGGAATCTACCTTGACTTCACATTTCTTCTGGTGTATAATATAAATATGTGCACTTGACTCTTGATTTACGAACGAATTGGAATGCCAGAGGTTCGAACCTTTTGTATGTGCATCATATTTCATTATGAAATATATTGTTTTAATTTAGCCCTAAACTTTTGCATGAACTTACGACATGCTTGTCAAAACTGTTCCTAAAAGCTGAAAAAGCCATCCCTAACCGTCACCGGCAACTGCACCTAACCCGTCACCCCTCGTCGCCCATGCATACGCTAGCTGCTGAAATGAACTTGTACGGCTTTGCGGAGCTCTTATAACTATTTTTTTTTAGCGACGGCTATCGTACATGTCTCAAAGAAGGTGCATTGCGGACGCCTTGTCTGTCCCTTGAATCAACTTGAGAATTGTTGCCTGGGACAAGGTTCGGCGGTAGCCAACCTAATATGTGCCTTAACGACCAACCTTTTCATTTTTTTGGTGGGTAAAAGTCCATTGCTTTTCATTAAAGAATAACCTGGACCGACAGTAACAATGCTTCGAAATACAATAAATCTCATAGAGCTTGCGGAGGATAGGACACCCAATTATGAAGAATGGCTTTCCATCTACGGGCTTTGACAACCCAATTCGCCGAACAATGGGCTATTTGGAGCTCTGAAAACTTGATAAACAGATCTTTGCAATCTTTGGTAAGTGCACTCACGTCCCAAGCTTGCTGATCTGAGCCCAACAAAGCATTTGTACTGCTGAAAGTCGAGAGGAAGGAGAAGATGAAGATGACTCGAAAGCGTACCTTCTGTTCGAGGTCACCGTTTCCAAATTTCTTAATTGCGGCCCTACGTACTTCATTCCCCTCCATCGAAACTGTTAGAAACCCCAACAGATAAAGCTTAAAAAGTAAAATAGTTCAAAAAAAAAATGAGGTTAATATCACGAAAAATCCCAAATCGGTGCACATGTGATAAATTTACCACAAACTAATTTTTTTACCACCAAAAATTCAAAACTGATACACATGTGACAAATTCACTCTCCGTTAGTTTCCATTAAATTTTACCGTTAAATTTCGAAGTTGGATTACACGTGGCAGTTTACGGATGTACCAGTTTAGGGTTTTACCCCTATGTTTGTCACAGGTTTACCAATTTATGATTTTTCTTGGTATTAAATTAATTTAATGGAGGGTAAATTTGTCACAAGTATACCAGTTTGGGGTTTTTGTAAATTTTTCAAAAGTGTATCGGTTTAAGATTTTTCTTGGTTAAAAAATTTGTTCAAGGTAAATTTATCACGAGTATACTAGTTTAAGATTTTCATGGTATTAACCCAAAAAAAAAAATACTCAAAAAAGAACTCGACGCGTAAGTTTGCAGCACAACTTCACTTTTATGAGATTACCCCTTGTTTATGATCTTAGGAGATGGTTAACATGCTTGCCAAAATGATGGAACACTTAGCAACAAATGCATAATCTTTGACCAAGGGTGTTTTGGTCAACAACCCAAAAATGCTGTGTTTCCGGCCATCAAGGCCGTTGAAATATGCCCTTCCAATGTTATTTCAATAAAATGGTTGTCATCTAAAATCACACATTCTAACTAAGATGGAGATTTCGATAAAAAAAAAAAGTAAGATGGAGATGAGTGGCAATGAATGATTGCGAAAAATTGTGAATTGAGCATACTTTTGCAAACAGATTAGTAAGTTCAATCCAATCTAATAACATCGTGGATGTACATTATACTAGAAGTCTCTATTTTCAATTTACATATGATTACAATGCATCGAGGATGATTATAACTCATGATTCAAGGGCCTGACGATAATTTAGTTAAGTTTATATCTCACGATCGAGGATATAAAATGAAATACGACTAATCAGTCGGTCACTACAAGGACTAAGGACTAAATAATATGGGTGACCGGGTTTTAAGGAAGTCCATTCCAAAAGTGGAACTAGGAACTAACCCTATAAGGTCTAGAATCAAGAATTGGACAGTTGAAACCGAGAACTAAATCGGGTTCGTCTAGAATCGGCCTAGAAAGTTTTCGAGTGGACTCAAGAACCTGCCGTCCCTTTTTTTTTTTTTTAAAGCATGAAAATTTATGGGACTTGATTTCCTTTGGCAAATGAGGTCAAGTGGAAGCGAGGACCAAATTGATTATACTTTGTCAAATGTCACAAGTAATGACTAGAAAATTCATAAAGGAACAAGAGCAGAGACAGAAAGCTAAATCATCTAATTTAGAATGGAAAATTATTGATCCCCCCATAAAATTGGATTCCTACCAACCTTGGACTTGAGTATTCACGAATCACGATGCAGATTCCTTCGACTTTTAGTACTGGCCATGTCATTAAATGCAACAAGTTTTCTTGGCACTTGAGAAGTTTCGTGCATCTAAGCAACGCAACTACCACAAATTTTTAAAGCTATGTTGACCTTGACCTGCTGACCAACTTCTTTGGTAAGCTCTTCTCATCTACATACGGATAACCAATTTCTTTTCCAATAATAGTCCATGGTAAATCAATTACATACATCATATGTAGAGGACTATATTTATTGCACTATATACATTAGGTAAAAAAAATATAGGAAAAGTAAAAACTTTGATCTTGAACTCGAGGAATATCCTCATTTGCCTCTAAAGAAAAAAATTTAAATGTCATGTAGAACAAAAAGATCTATACACGCTCTTAAATGGACGATAAATCTCCTAACTCTAATATGAAATAACGTCTCTCGATGTACTGCACACGTGTCAACGTGATAATCCTGTATGAGGTTTCACTTATATTTCTTCTTTCAGACACAGAATTTATCCTTTGGGTGAGAAAATTAGTATTTTTTTTTCTGATTTGCCCGCGCCATCCTCATGCAAGGGCAAATTATATATGAAGAATTACAATTGGCTTGCTTAGGGTTTTTTTTGCACTTTCTAAACCTTCATAAAATACTCATATGCAAGGTAAATTATTTCCCTTTTTTGTATAAATTATTTTCCTTATGTCAAAAGAAAGAGGTAGAAAGAACGTGGAATGCATCCTTTTATAGATTTTTTTTTTTTGGTGTGAAATATAAGTACCATTCATAAGTTGATATACAAAAGCTTAGAGGCATACCTCAGCATTACAAAGAGGACTATGATCACGAAAAAATGAAGTGTGGGAGTCTCCATATATTAGCCAATATTACATTTGCCCTAGAAGGTCTAAAAGTTTTATAGATTTTATTTTATTGAACACCTATTCGATAAAAAATAATTATTAGGTTCATCATCAATATAAAAAAAACCTCCTTACACATTCACCATTCAATGAGTAACATTTGTGTTTGAGTTTAATTTCATAACCAAATTGATTACGATAAGCGTATAGATTATTTTTATATCGAGAATGGACTTATTAAAAAAAACACCTAAAAATAAAATCGTGTAACTTCTATTGATGGTTTATATAGACAAAAAAAAAAGAATAGAAAAAGTCACAAAAACTCCAAACTATGCCAATTATGACATATTTACCTCGATTTTTTTTTTGCATCAAAAATCTCAAACTATACTTACCGTAGCACATTTACCCTAAACTTTTTCTTGCAATATAAAAAATCCCACACTCAACCTACGCAACACATTTACCGTCCGTCCAGGTTCCGTTTAATAATTTTTCAGCCAGAACAATATTTTTTTTTTATTTCATTTAAGCCCTGCGAGTGTCATGTCAACGCTGCTTGTTTTCTAGCTTCCATGTAGGTAAATTATTAATGATTTTTATTGATAGAATATTAACGATTCTTATTTGAAATATTTATAAAAAAAAAAATTTAGAGTAAATACGGTGGGCTTTTGCCCAAATAAAGAAAGACAGGATATGCCGGAATCGGATTGTCAACGCGACACCATCACCAGCAACTAACGTTACCCTTGGCAGAGAAAACAGTTAAAAAAAAAAGTCACAGACAGGAGAGAAGAGCCCCCCATAATCCCGTCGCCAGTCCCAGACATCTGGAAGAGAGCGCAGCAGTACACTGCGCCAAATGGCGGCTACATCTTCATGGAATCCCGTGTTCACCCATCCCTCCAAGAAGCAGCGCTCCCTCTCGTGGGCCCGCTCCTTCGCCTCCAAATCCCACCTCCGCCTCGCCCCCCGCGGTGACGCCGCCGGCCGCCGCGCCGCGTCCCTCGCGGTGCTGTCGCTCCTGGGCACGAAGCCCACCGTCCTCGTCACCGAGAAGCTCGGCGATGCGGGCCTCGACCTCCTCAGGTCCTTCGCCAACGTCGACTGCTCCTACAACCTGAGCCCGGAGGAGCTGTGCACCAAGATCTCCCTCTGCGACGCCCTCATCGTCCGGAGCGGCACCCGGGTCACCCGCGAGGTCTTCGAGTCGTCCGGCGGGCGGCTCAAGGTCGTGGGCCGCGCCGGCGTGGGGATCGACAACGTGGACGTCTCGGCCGCCACGGAGCACGGGTGCCTCGTGGTCAATGCGCCCACCGCCAACACCATCGCCGCCGCCGAGCACGGGATCGCCCTGCTCGCTTCCATGGCGCGGAAGATCGCCCAGGCGGACGCTTCCGTGAAGGCCGGTGCGTGTCTTTTTTGCGGTGCTTTCGGGCAGTTGTTGATTTTTTGCAAGGTCTCGGTGCGGCATTTCTTCGAGCAGCCTGGGTGCGATGTGGGCCATTTTGAAGCTTTTAAAATTGTGGGTTGCGTAGGCCGTTTGTCTATGTTTATTATATCGTTGATGGTATGGTTGATCATATCTCTTATGGATTTGGTGATTGGCAGTGTTCAAATTGGTTGAGGCTCGTTGAAATTAATACATAGTATACTGGAGGTTCACCAACAAACGACAAATCTTTAAAATACTTGAACGGAGCCCCATTTTGTATTGCAAGCTGTAAACTTTCAGTGTTATATTGAATGCTCATTATGGACGTGTGAGCGCGCGCTCCTATAACATGGTAAATTGGGTTTTTATGCCGTGAATGCCCTATGCTGTTTCTTATGAAAATGCTGGGCCACTTGCTGTCTGGGTCGCTTTTTTATTTTTTAGGAAAGTGGCAGAGAAGCAAGTATGTTGGTGTTTCGCTGGTGGGGAAGACTCTTGCAATTATGGGGTTTGGGAAGGTTGGATCGGAAGTCGCAAGGCGGGCCAAGGGGCTCGGCATGCACGTGATTGCCCACGATCCATACGCCCCTGCTGATCGCGCGCGTGCAATCGGAGTGGAAATGGTGAGCTTCGACGAAGCAATCTCGACCTCGGATTTCATCTCCCTGCACATGCCTCTTACCCCTGCCACGTCCAAGATGTTGAATGATGATGCTTTTGCTAAGACGAAGAAGGGCGTCCGGATTGTCAATGTTGCTCGAGGCGGCGTGATCGATGAAGAGGCTCTTCTAAGGGCTCTAGATTCTGGAATTGTTGCTCAGGTTCTGGTTTTCTTTGATCTGTCTGCAGAATTTTTGGGATCAGTTCATACAAATGGTGAAGGAGCAATAGTTCTCATTTTTGTGCAGGCTGCACTTGATGTTTTCACGGAAGAGCCACCTCCCCGAGACTGTAAGTTAGTGCAGCACGAGAATGTGACTGTAACGCCTCATCTCGGCGCTAGCACAACTGAGGCCCAGGTAAATTTGGCTAACATACTGTTGGTAAGTTCTGTTCTTTCCAGGCTGGATTAGTTTTCCGACCCTGAGTTTCTTTGTGGACGTAATCAGGAAGGTGTGGCCATTGAAATTGCAGATGCAGTTATTGGGGCCTTGAAGGGTGAGCTTGCGGCTACTGCTGTGAATGCACCCATGGTGCCTGCCGAGGTAGGATATCAAATACTGTTTTCCTACTTTTGTCGTGCTGCATTTTGCATTGACTTTTAGTTATTTTGCTCCAATGACTCCTTCCTCATTTAGTACAGGATAGCTTCATCAGCCTCAACTGCTTGGTATCACAATAGTTTTAATTGACTGACATCGATTGACCAGTTTGAGAGCATATTGTTCACTTATGTGCTGTCTCTCAATTCATTAACAATTTGCAAGCATAACCATGTGTTCGGTGCATGCTTTAGGAATTTAATTGAGCTTGAATTGCTCTTTCGTTTAATTGTTGTCATACTGTTCATCTCATCGTTACTTATTTTCTATGAGAACTGTCAAATCTGACATGTTATAGAGAAGCACCCCTTAGTGAGAACAATACAAAAACTGTACACTTAAAACTAAAGAGAGTCGTTTTCATTTCCCAGGGTCTCACTATGTCTATTAAATAGACTCATTGTTACTTCGTTGTTCATTCCATTTGTTCCAGAGACAGGCATGAGTTGTTACAGCGCTATGCCATGTTACCCACTTACATGCTTTGATGGGAGTGAAGCTCAAGTTCGTTCATGTTGCTTGCAGGTTATATCGGAGCTCACTCCTTATGTTGATCTAGCAGAAAAGCTCGGAAGACTAGCCATACAGCTCGTTGCAGGTGGAAGTGGCATAAAATCGGTGAAGGTGGGTTATGCTTCAGCCAGAGGTCCAGATGATCTTGACACTCGGCTGCTCCGTGCTATGGTCACCAAGGGTCTAATTGAGCCTATATCCAGCGTCTTTGTAAACTTGGTCAATGCTGACTTCACCGCCAAACAAAGAGGACTCCGGATCACAGAAGAGAGAATCATGTTGGACGGATCACCTGAGAATCCCCTTGAATACATCCAGGTCCAGATCGCCAATGTCGAATCAAAATTCGCCAGCGCTATGTCAGAGTCTGGAGAGATCAGAGTTGAAGGGAAGGTGAAGGATGGGAAACCACATCTCACCAAGGTTGGGTCGTTCGGCGTAGATGTGAGCTTGGAAGGGAGTTTGATTCTTTGCAGGCAGATCGATCAGCCTGGCATGATTGGGAAGGTGGGTAGTTTATTGGGTGAGGAGAATGTGAATGTGAATTATATGAGTGTCGGGAGGACGGCTCGGGGGAAACAGGCCATTATGACAATTGGTGTGGATGAGGAACCAAGCAGGGAAGCCCTGATGGCTATTGGAGATATTCCTGCCATCGAAGAGTTTGTTTTCTTGAAATTGTAGGAGAGAAAAGATCGAAATGTTTGTCTTTGCTGCTGAATTCTTGAAGATATGGTTTTTGTGTGACGGTGTGTTATAAATGTCAGTAAAGTTGATTATTAGCTATTGCAATTGACGTAGATTTATACGGCGTCGATGATACTTTTGATTAGACGATAATCTGGTGTCTGTTTAGGTACGATATACATATGCCGACATGTATTCTTCTTTAGGTGAAAATACGTTTCCCGACGCATCCAATGAAGGTTATTTTCTCAGTTTCATTGCTGTGCTTCCTGTCTATATAAATGTCCATGCTGCAAATGTGGAAAACGCGGTTGCTTTCGTACTATTTCTTTGGCGGTGCTGCATATAGAATTCTCATGCCCAGTTCCTTCTTTTTCGCGATAATCTGTCTTCACCTGTTTAGTTTACCAGGGCGTGTAACAAGGATCACTTTAGGAATCTGCACAAGTCCGCTTTTTGCAGAACTTCACTATGCAAAAACCCAATTGCCCCCATTTGGTATCAACTTGTCAGTCAGTCCCACTGAGTAGAAGTTCGATGAGAATCGTTTACCCCATTGTGGAAATGCCATTACACAAGAAGAGCCTTGACGGTCATGCTTTACAATTTTCGTAACAAGCTTTACATTTTTCTGTAGCTGCCGGTTCACATAAGAAAGGCGTTCGATCCTATGTAACAGTCTCGTACGCCATGTGTTCACGAAAAGTGCGCTAGTAACACATCAAAGAGCTTGAATGCTTAATGATTTTGTTAACGGTATCAGAGGAATTTCCATACTCAGCCATAACATTACTTCTAAAAGCTTCTCTCGAACTGTCAAATGAACCAGCGCTGCAACTTCTCAATCATTCGATAATAACCCCAGCTCTATCAATAGAAACACTTGCATTTTCATAACTAGTTAGAGGGGGAACGGGTATTCCACACTACCTACTGAAATAGCACAGAGTTCTTCGCAGAATCTCTACCAACTGGAACATAAAAGGAACAGTTCCATCAACAACATGTCAGTCCCGAACAACAGGGCTGGACATCACAACAAAGCTCACTACCAAATCCCAACCTCAATGAAACCATCTTCAGTTGCAAATCCCCTGAACATCCCATTGGTGTTAAAGCCGCAGGCCACTTCCCCGTTCTGGGACACGGCTATCATCCCCGCCTGCCCTTCGTCCAGCCTCTCCTTGACCACGAAGTCGACCGCCGCCTGAAGGCCCAGGCCCTTGTACTCCATCACGGCCGCCACGTCGCGGGCCAGGGTCCCGCGGATGATGGCCTCCCCCTCACCGGTGCAGGAGACCCCGCAGAGGCCACAGGCGTAGGTCCCGGCCCCGATCAGGGGCGAGTCCCCGATGCGGCCACACATCTTGTTCATGAGGCCGCCAGTGGAGGTGGCGGCCGCGCACCTCCCCTGCCCATCGACCACAACGCATCCGACCGTCTCCGGCGCGTAGACGCTTATCGGGAGGCCATTCATCTGCAGGGGGTTCTCCACGCTGGCGCCACAGGTATCCAGGAGGACAGTTGGGATTCTATAGTCAAACTGTTCAACGAAAAACATAAAGAGACATGTTTAGCGTATTGCCCGGAGTGAGAGGCAGCACAATTGGGGGGTAAAAAACACCCAATTCAAATGAGATTGAGAATGAACTTCACCATAATTGTGTTTGCTTCCTTGGCTAATTTCAACATTCCCCTATTGTCTTCAGTGATAAAATAGTCATTGTCCACCACCTCAACACCCTGTACAAATCAAGAATCAATAAATCTCAAAAAGGGAAGACGACAGCAGTAATCATCTCATGATTCCCGTGCAAACTAGCAACTACGGCGCACTGCACAACTGTTGAAACTCTTTACAAAAACCAAGGACCGCACCAATCTTTCCAAGAACCACAAAACCGACAAAATCAAAACATAATTAACTCCAAGACTCACAGGCATAATCAAAATGGACTAATGACTGACTAAGTTAGAATGCAGACGTTACAGACTTGGGGTATCCAACGTTAATAACATGACATGTCTGAACTCAAGAACCGGAAGAAAAGTAAGAAAACTGAAAACCATTTCAAGCAAAACCTAATGAACCCTAATGACGAGGGGCAAGAACCCGTTTCAACCGAGGCAGGCACGAGGGGAAAAGACACGACCGCCGGGTCAGAGGTTCATGCACCAAATTAAAAAAGCACGTGGGTGGCTTAAACGCAGAAAGAGCAATCATTCTTTTGTCTCGCGACTGAATATTTCGACGGTTGAGATCGTTCATCGAGGCCGTCCATGAATGCATGGCGCAGAAACGCTTCTCTCGAGGAGAATTTATGATTTCATGAATCGAATGCCGAACCCATATGAGCAAAAAGGGAGAAGCAGAACTATGGTAGAGTGGGAGTGGGCAGAAAGTACAGACGTGGAGGCGGGCGAAGTCCTCGGCGCCGGAGAAGGCGAGATAGGAGTGGGGGGACTTGTCCATGACGAGCCTGGCGAGGGAGACCGGGTTCTTCACCGTCGTCACCCCCGACACCGCGCCGCACCTCCTCCCCTTCCCGTCCATTATGCTCGCCTCCATCTCCACCGTGCCTTTCTCCGTCAGTGCCGATCCCCGCCCCGAGTTGAACACCGGATCGCTCTCCAGTTCCCTCACCTTTAAGAAAAAAAAAAACAAAACGAGTGAGACTGCGTATCATGTAATCCACGACGACAAGGTCTCAAGCACACATGAAAAACCCTCGTTCGTCGTTCGGTTTCATCAGAACCGGTGTTGCATGTCGAAAAGAAACAGAGACAGAAACAAAGACAGAGAGAGAGTGTGTGCACGTGTGTGTGTGTGTGTGTGTGTGTGTGTGTGTGTGTGTGTAACGTACGACGAGTTCGACGACGTCGACGGCGGGGAGAGAGGAGCGGAGGGCGGAGATGCCGAGGTTGAGACAGCGGGCGAGGACCTGCTTGGCCTCCTCCTGGCGGTGGAGGGGGAGATTCGGGTCCACCCCGGCGCCGCCGTGCACGGCGATTGCCCACCCTCCCATCTCTCCCTCTCCCTCTCTCTACGGCGGTGGGGGTTGGTGGCGGTGGTGCGTGTAACCGGCGGACGTCTCTCTCTGCGTGGGTTTGTCTTCTTCCTACACACAAACACACACGCAGAGAGAGAGAGAGAGCGGTGGAGAAGAAGAGGCTGCGGTTGGTGGGGTATTTATAGGGGTGGTAAGAAGAAGTTCGAAAAGCAAAAGGCATTCATGGGGGGGCCCCGTTTGAGAAATGAATGCATGTCCAAAATCAGATTTCGAAAAAATCCTGCGAATTTCGAAATTTATTTAATGAAATGCCAATGCCCTTTTCCTTTCATTATTTTCTTTCCTTTTCGGATTCCGAGGCAGCATCGGGTCTGGAATTGATGGGAGTTTTGTTTTCACGTGAGGAGCGAGGGGGGGGCGTTTGACGAAATTGCCGAGAAGGAGAGCGGTTTGGGGATCGTTTGACCCGATGGGGGCGGGCCGCCGATGCTTTGAAGTAACTAAGGAAGTTCCTACTTAGGGTTTCAGTTGTAACACAAGTGTTGTAAATGTTTGGATTAATACTACGAAAAATTCTAAATCGATATATATGCGATAAATTTATCTAAAATTAATTTTTTGATCGCCAAAAATCTTAAACCGGTATATCTGTAATAAATTTACCCTCCGTTAGAATCTGTTAAATTTTACCTTCAAATTGCTTACAGGTGTAACAGTTTTGAGTTTTACCCTCCGTTTGTCACAGGTGTACCAGTTTGTGGTTAATCAAATTCAATGGAAATTAACGGAGGATAAATTTTTCATAAATATACCGGTTTTGGATTTTTAGTGGTCAAAAGATTAGTTTTTGGTAAATTTATCACGGGTGTACCAGTTTGGGATTTTTTGATGTCAAAAAATTAGTTTTAGGTAAATTTATCATAGGTGTACCAAATTAGGATTTTTCATGGTATTAATCCTAAATCTTTTAACGTGGGACCATAGGGTTTTTTGGGTAAATCAAGGGCTTATTGAAGATCTTCCCTTTCTTAAAGTTATATACACTAACTTCAAATTGAAGGGAATGGGATTTTCGTGAATTCTCTCATACATTTGATTGTTTCGAGGCCTTGAGAAGATTGCTGGATAGATCGAGAGCAATCCTGCCTTTTTTTTTTTAAATGGTTAATATCACAAAAAATCTCAAATTGGTACACATGTGACAAATTTACTCTAAACTAATTTAACCCCAAACTGGTACACCTGTGACAAATTTACCCTCCATAAATTTTACCGTCAAATTGTTGAGTTGGATGACACGTAGCGGTTGAAGGATCTACCGATTTAGGGTTTTATCCCTCTATTTATCACAAATTTATCAATTTATAGTTTTTTGTGGTATTAATCCAATTTAATTGAAGGTAAATTTTTCACAAATATACCAGTTTGGGGTTTTTTGTGGTCAAAAAATTAGTTTTGGATAAATTTATTATAGGTGTACCAGTTTAGGTTTTTTCGTGGTATTAACCCTTTTTGAAACTCTCGATCATATTAGATTTTAAGTTTCGGTGATAATACCTCCAAGAGTAACCTATGGGATTGTTAAATGCGATCGGGGCTTGAAAATATCCATTGTGTCTATGAACTTACGTAGTTCAATTCACGTGCCTTATTTTAGTAGCGAAAGTTTTCGCGCCATTGCTGTCCATCGTTCATTTTCGACGGGCTTGAAAAGAAACTCTAGGAGCGAATGACCTTATTGCAAACTTCTTGGAGCCTTGGAAAACTACAGAATAGAGAGACATGTAGATGTCGATGTAGATGAAAGGAAAGAGCACGAAGCCTTCGGTGCAAGGAAGTAGAATGTAGTTTTCAAAGCCATCCTCATGCCTATCTTCTTCTCTGAGGTTGCATAGCAATCTCTAAGCGAATTCAAAGATCGAGTCATTTGCTAATTTTCAATTCTCTGATGTTGCGAGACCAACTCATTTCCAAATTGGCTATTAGTATATGCATGTACTTGGAATATTTTAATGACATCCACATATTAAATGGGTCAATATGCAAGAGAACTTATAATTATCTTTCAAATTCGCACGTCACTCCTTCAATCGTAAGC